ATGGGGAACCGGCCCCCTCTTCCCGTGTTCCTCTTCCATATCCCAGCCCCTACTCTGGAGCCAGGGAAAGAACAGGGAGGAGGTGGCGGGGGAACTGGCTCCAGCCCCAGGATACACCGAGGAAATTAGTTTGTCTCCGTGCTTGTCAGTGTGTGAACCTCCCCCTGGGCCCTTGGCTGTCCCAGGCCTCACCCGGCTCTTCTCCCTCCTCGCCCAGCCACACACCTCCCTCGCCCCTCGCCCCAGGCCCCGGCAGCCCCCTGAGGGCTGGCAAGGGCTTTGCCCTCCTTCCCGGACTACGCCGCCTTCTACACCCTCCCCTGTTGCTCCCCTCGAGACTGCCTCAGTTTCTTCCTTCTGCAGCCCGCTCCTCTCCGCGGACCCCGTCCTTGGGGGTGTTAGCGAGTCCCCCTCCGTCCCCCATCCCTTCAGCCGATGGGACCTGGCATGTCAGAGGGGCGAGAGGGGCTCTGGTGCCCACGGCCCTCCTGCCTTTCAAGCCCGCTGTTCTCTCCCGTTTCCCGGTGCAGAAAGCCTTTGCTGGACTCGGCTACCCCCTCTAGTTCCCGACCCTTTCCTCTCCTGGCTTTCCCTGCCAAATTTCTCGAAGGAGTGGTCTACACCCTCTGCCTCCACTTCCTCTCCACCCACTCACTCCTTAACCCCCTGCAATCTGGCTTCCAGGCCCAGCACTGGTTCTCTCCAAGGTCGTCAGGCACCTCCTTCCTGCCAAGCCCGTCAGTGTTTCGTTTTATTGGTTTTTTTTTTTTGAGTCGAAGTCTCACTCTGTCACCCGGGCTGGAGCGCGGTGGCCCGCTCGCAGCCACCACAGTCTCCACCTGCTGGGCTCAGGCGATCCTTCCGCCTCAGCCTTCCAAGTAGCCGGAACTACAGGCGCGCGCCACCACGCCTGGCTAATTTTTCTTGATTTAGAGACGAGGCCTCGCCAGGTTGCCCGGGCGGGTCTCGAACCCCTGGGCTCAGGCAATCCTCTCGCCTCCGCCTCCCGAAGTGCTGGGATGACAGGCGTGAGCCACCACACCCAGCTCCGTCAGCGTCTTTAAGCCTTATTCTCCTTGCTCTCTGTTTTGCAGCCGCACTGCTGATCACTGCTGCCTTCTTGAACTCCTCTTCCTTGGCCTCTGCACCCCCCTGGGCCACCTTCTACCTCTCCAGCCTCACCTCCTGGTTCCCGTGGCTCCTCTTGCTCTGCCCTGCGGTGGGCGCTCTCCCAAGGCTCGCCCGCCAGCCAATCAGCACGCCCTTCCCGAGCAGCTCCTGCGTGGTTCTCTCTTTCTATGTCTCTCCCTAGGAGAGCGCCTCACCCCCACTGCTTCAACTGTCACCTCCGTGAAATGATATCCTTGCTGGAGAAACTTAGGGGAGGCCGGAGGCCAGACAGGCCAGCGTGGAGGCAGGGCCAGCGTCAGGGGCCGCCAGAAGCGGAAGCTTTGGGGCCAGGCACCCCCTCGGTGGTGAGCTAGCTGTCCCGCCCCCCTCCCGTTCCCCACCACCCTCTCCTTTTCACAGCTGAACTACCTGGGGCCTCCCTTCAACGAGCCTGACTTCAACCCGCCTCGGCTAGGGGCAGAGACTCTGCCCAGGGCCACCGTCAACTTGGATGTGTGGCGAAGCCTCAATGACAAACTGCGGCTGACCCAGAACTACGAGGCCTATAGCCACCTCCTGTGTTACTTGCGTGGCCTCAACCGCCAGGCCGCCACGGCCGAGCTGCGCCGCAGCCTGGCCCACTTCTGCACCAGTCTCCAGGGCCTGCTGGGCAGCATTGCAGGCGTCATGGCGGCTCTGGGCTACCCGCTGCCCCAGCCTTTACCCGGGACTGAGCCCACCTGGACCCCGGGCCCTGCCCACAGCGACTTCCTCCAGAAGATGGATGACTTCTGGCTGCTGAAGGAGCTGCAGACCTGGCTGTGGCGCTCAGCCAAGGACTTCAACCGGCTCAAGAAGAAGATGCAGCCCCCCGCCGCGGCGGTCACCCTGCGCCTGGAGGCCCGTGGCTTCTGATCTCCGGCCTTCGCCACCTCCTCCCCCCCACCCCACCCCCGGCTCAACCCCGAACCCTGGATGCCAACCCTTGTCCAGCCAGGAGACAAGAAAAGCCATGAGCCTCTGGCTCGCCCCTGGACTTGGGTGGGGGTGTGTAAGATACCGCAAGCCCCGTCTCCCCCCACCTCCCAGAGGCCTCCAGGCCCTGGAGAGGAGGTACGCAGGCCCTGTCATTCCGCAGGAAGCCATGCTCGGGGGAGTCCAAAGTGGTTCAAGTTGACGCAAAGGCTCCGGCCTCCTGCTTCCTGCCTGCTCCTTGGCCAGTGCCCACCAGCCTCTCAAGTGGCACTTTCAGGAAGCACACCTGAGGACAGGGGTTGGGGGGGCCACACCGCACATGCCTTTCTGGGGTGAAGCCCTGTGACTGCCCCACTCTCCTTGGACGGGGGTGGCACCCCTGCCCACAGATAACCACACATCCGATTCAGGAAACAAGAAGAGATGAGATTAAAAACCCAAGGTGGGGTCTGCACTGGAGGTGGCCCGTAGACCGGAAGAGACGATATTGAAAGCAGAGGGGCAGGGACAGACCAGATCAGACCCAGGAGTCACCAGCGCAATCGGCACAGAGTGGCGAGAAGCCGCGCTGAGCGTCAGGACATGCCTACGTTTCCTTGCCAGCATCACGCTGCCATCCTCTCTGCCCCCTTTTCCAGGGTATCTGTGGTTGCCCGGGCTGGGGAGGGCAACTGTAGCCACAGCCACAGAATTTCCTGAAAGTTTACATTGCAGTAGCATTTTGGGGTGTGGGGTGGCAGCCCCCCCAGGCCCTGCCCCAAAGCCCTACCCACTCATGACTCTAAGTGTGTTGTATTAATATTTATTTATTTGGAGATGTTATTTATTAGATGATATTTATTGCAGAATTTCTATTCTTGTATTAACACATAAAATGCTTGCCCCAGAACTTGGTCCCTCGCCTGGTCTTCTCCCTCCCGGGGGCTCTTCGCTGGCCCTCCTGGTTTTTGCCCACCCCAGTTCTTACGTTCCGCCTCTCCTCTGCAGGGGGTGCACAGAACTCAGGGAAAGGGCGCTCTTCCCTCGGTGCACCAGGGCGCTGTGCACACCTCGGACTTGGCCACTGCCACTCCCACCACCACCCCCATGAGCCCTCAGGCCCCTCTAAACAGCCTCTGTCTCCTTTTTCCTTCTCCCCACCTTTGCTGTCTCCTCACCCCTCTGGAGTGCTTTATTGGGCTCATAGGTCTGTCTCCCCGCCTTGAATTTCTCCCCTCTGCCCATCTCCCCCAAGTGTCAGCCTCCGGCCACCCGGTCCCCAGCTTCCCCAGGACTCCCACCAATGGCTGTCCAGGAGGACCTCGGGAGCAGTGACCCTCACCTCAACATCCTTCTTTTCTAGGGAGGGTGACCGAGGCCAAGTCACAATTCTCAGCTGTGACTTTTTTCTTTCTTTCTTTTTGTTGGCGTCTCACTCTGTCACCCAGACTGTCTCAAGCCTGTAATTGCAGCAATCTGGGAGGCCGAGGCAAGTGGATTACCTGAGCCCACAGGTTCCAGACCAGCCTGCACAATTTGGCGAGATCTCGTCTCTACAATAAATTAAAAAATTGGCCGGATGCAGTGGCTCACGCCTGTCATCCCAGCACTTTGGGAGGCGGAGGCAAGGGAATTGCCCGAACCCACGGGTTCAAGAACAGCCTGGGCAACTTGGCGAGATTTCATCTGTACAATAAAAAATCAAAAAATTAGCTGGGTGTGGTATCGTGTGCCAAGTAGTTCTGGCTACTTGGAAGGCTGAGGCAGAAGGATCGCCGGAGCCCAGCAATTCGAGGCTGCGGTGGCCATGAGCATGCCACTGCACTCCAGCCTGGGTGGGCAGAGTGAGACTCCAACTCCAAAAAACAAAACAAAGCAAAACAAAAATTAACCGGGCTTGGTGACACGTGCCTGTTGTCCCAGCTACTTGGAAGATGGAAGCGCAAGGATCGCCTGAGTTCAGCAGGTTGAGGCTGCAATGGCTGTGAGCGTGCCACTGCACTCCAGCCTGGGTGGCAGAGTGAGACTCCGTCTCAAACAAAAAATAAAATAATAATAATAATAAAAGAAAGCATGTTTGGAAAAAGAGAAAATCTCCTATCAGACTATGAGAAAATGGGTCAAATGCTCTTCAAGGAAGGACCTGAGCGCAAATCCCAGTTTCCTAACCTCCTAGTGGTGTGACCTTCAACAGATTAAAGAGTTTTATTCAGCCAGGCTCGGTGGCTCAGCCTGTAATCCCAGCACTTCGGGAGGCTGAGGCAAGTGGATTGCCTAAGTCTGTGGGTTCGAGACCTACCCAGGCAACTTGGCGAGACCTCGTCTCTAAAATAAATAAAAAATTGACCAGGCGTGGTAGCGCACGCCTGTAATTCCAGCTACTTGGAGGGCTAAGATGGAAGGGTCGCCGGAGCCCAGCAGGTCGAGGCTGTGGTGGCTGGGAGCGTGCCACTGCCCTCCAGTCTGGGCCAAAGAGTGAGACTCCTACTCAAAAAATTTAAAAAAACAAAGCGTTCTATTCTCCAGTTTCTCCATCAGTATTGTGGGGACAATTACATACTCATAAGATTGTTGGAGAGGATAACGGAAACAATAGAGATAAGATGCTTGGCTGTAGCACCAGTACTTACGGTAATTACAGATCACTTGGCCTATATCAGCACGCCATGACACTTTAGTCAAGAACCACTGGGTAAATTCATGGATTAATTGCTTCCAGGTTATTATTAATTGCTCCCATGGATCTTTACAAGGACCTCCTGGAGACAATGCCTTAAGCAAAAGAAGTAACAAATGACAGTCGTGTCAATCAGTATTTTAAAGACCTAATTACTGACCCATCCCTGTTAACTAGTGTAGGAAAGCGACAGGCAGCTGGAACCCTAATTTGGCTCCTGCCCTCCTCGGGCTTACAGTCTATTTGGGAAGAAAGGATCCATTGACCTGCAATTTACTAAGGGCCAAAAGCAGACACGTGTGATGCAGACAGGCGGTGCCACTAGAGAAGGGAGAGGTCAGAGCGTAGGTGCAGGAGCTATGGATGGGGAAGCCGTGCGTGTGGGCGGGGCGAGCCGGGCCCTGCTGAATGTTCCTGAGTCATCTGGTCCAAGTTAGAGGGAACGTGTCCCACCCTGAGGGGTCCAGGCTCTCCAGATGGAGACATCTGCCCGGGCATGCCAGGGGCACCTGCAAGCCCTGCTCCCTGCCTATCAAGATAGAAAAGAGAGGGTATCCCAGGCTATCTCCCTACACAGCCAAAAATGAGTCGCGACCGTGACATACAAGCAGGAGGCAGGAGCCACCAGGAGTGCGGAGTTTAGAAGGCGTGAGAGCGCGCATCAGAGAGCTGGCACAGAACCAACGCTGAGTTGCTTGAGGGCAGCTTCTGGGTCCTCTTTGTCTATCGCAGCACCCGGCTCAGACTCTGGCTAAAGAAGGTGCCCGATGAGTGTGGGGAACAATTTCGAAAAGGGGATAGTAGGCCAGGTGTGGTGGCTCAGCCTGTCATCCCAGCACTTTGGGAGGCCAAAGCGAGAGGATTGCCTGAGCTCAGGGGTTCGGGACCAGCCCGGGCAACTTGGCGAGACCTCGTCTCTACAATAAATCAAAAAATAAGCCGGGCGTGGTGGCATGGGCCCGTGGTTCCAGTTACTTGGAAGGTCGAGGCAGAAAGATCACCTGAGCTCAGCAGGTCGAGGGTGCGGTGGCCGGGAGCGTTCCACTGCACTCCAGCCTGGGTGACAGAGTAAGACTCCAACTCAAAAAGAAAAAAAAAGAAAAGGGTATTGTATCCCCCCACCCTCCGCAATACTAGACTATAAAGGAGAGCTCTATTAAGTGCAGAAAGAAAGATCCAGGCAACAAAACCACGGAAGTCTTGGAAGGAGCCGTGTCTGGTTGGGTGGAGGCCTTCTAGGGGTGATGATAGGGCCTGAAGTCATCACTGACTTCCACGGAGGTCTTACCAATGCCAGCACACAGAAGTGCTTTTGGATAAATGCATGAGGTAGGATTTGGCACCATTCTTGGAGGATGGGCAGAATTTGGACAGATGAGGATGGTACAGAATGAAGTTAAGACAAGTGTATTTGTCTCCTTTTCTTTTTTTTTTTTTGTTTTTTTGAGTCGGAGATTCACTCCATCACCCAGGCTGGAGGGCAGTGGCACGCTTACGGCCACCCCAGCGTCGACCTACTGGTCTCTGGCAACCCTTCTGCCTCAGCCTTCCAAGTAGCCAGAACTACAGGTGCCTGCTACGATGCCCAGCTAATTTTTTATTTATTGTAGAGACAAGGTCTCACCAAGTTGCCCGGGCTGGTCTCAAACCCTCAGGCTCAGGCAATCCACTCGCCTTGGCCTCCCAAAGTGCTGGGATGACAGGCTGAGCCACAGAGCTGGTCTGTCTCCTTTTCAAACAAATTGCCTCTTGAGGGCAGATTAACCCCTTTTCACATCCCTGTTGCATGTTAGTGTAATACCTGGCACCGTAGAGTCCTTGATAATTGGCTTTAAACTGATTTAGAGAATGTCAAGACCACAGCATTTTCGAAGTTGAAAGATGAGACTTTGAAGGAGGGGAGCTGACCCACAGTCTCAGCTGCCCCAGAGAAACTGAAAGAATGCCGACTGGGCTCGGTGGCTCAGCCTGTAATCCCAGCACTTTGGGAGGCCGAGGTGAGTGGATTGATTGCCTGAGCTCATGGGTTCAAGACCCGTCCAGGCAACTTGGTGAGACCTCGTCTCTACAATAAAGTAAAAAAAAAAAAAAACCAGCCAGATGTGGTAGCGTGCGCCTGTAGTTCTGGCTACTTGGAAGGTTGCGGTGGAAGAATCACCAGAGCCCAGCAGGTCGAGGCTGCAGTGGCCAGGAGCGTGCCACTGCACTCAAGCCTGGGCGACAGAGTGAGACTCCAACTCAAAAAAAAAAAAAAGAAAGAAGAAAGAACAGATGAGGGACAGCCACTGAATTGTGTGATCAAAGAGGGACGTGATGGGCAGAAACAGACACGATAAGCAGGTCCCTCAGAGTTTGCTGGTAAAGGGACTATCCAGAGGGGTTCACAGGATCAAAGAAGGTTTCTGTTTGTTTTGTTGTTGTTTGTTTTGTTTTGGGGGGTATTTTTGAGTCAAGGTC